TGCCTCGCATTAAGAAACTATCATGAACGTAAAAACCCCAATAGGTTGATTTGTGATACACTTTTCCCATGTATCATGAAAATCCTCATCTATATGATATAATCCTTGATTGTATCAAAACCCACAACTTCTTGTCTCATTATCACTAGTAGATCTACAAGTCTACTCAATGCATTTGCTACTTTATTCTGTACTCCAACCTTGTACTTTAACTTGAACGAAAACTTCTGCAAAAACTGAAACCACCTAGCATATATGTCTTTACTTATCTATTTCTAACTATTAAAGTACTTTAATGCCTCATGATTTGAGTACAAAACAAATTCTCGCCCAACCAAGTAATGTTTCTAATTCTTCAAAGCACACACAATATAATAAAATTCTTTGTCATATGTGGTCCACTTGTGCCTTGCATCACCGAGCTTTCCATTGAAATAAGTTATTAGTTTTTCCTTTTGTGAAAGAACAGCAACTATTCCCACACCATTAGCATCACATTCAACTTTAAATAATGTATCAAAATCTAGTAATGTTAAAACAAAAGCAATACGTAACCTTTCCTTTAGCACAACAAAATTGGTTGCAACTTCTTCTCCCCACTAGAACTTCCCTTTCTTTAGACATTCTGTAATAGGTGTTGCAATATTACTGAAATTTCTGATAAAACGCCTATAACATGTTGCCAACCTATGAAAACTTTTGACTTTTGTTATTGTTTTTGTGATAAGCCATTCTCTAATAGCTTGAATTTTCTCTTCATCCACTTGAATTCCATCTACACTAACGACATAACCTAGGAATAATAACTTATTTGTGATAAAGCTACACTTCTTCATATTCACATACAACTTATTTTTCTGTAAAACCATTAACACTTCACACAAGTGCAAATGGTGCTCCTCTTTTAATCTACTATAAATCAGGATATCATCAAAATAAACCACCACGAACTTTCCAATAAAAGGTTTCTGTACTTGATTCATCAATGGCATAAAGGTACTAGGCATGTTGGTCAACCTGAATGGCATCACGAGCCACTCATATAACCTTTCCTTTGTCTTAAAAGTTGTTTTCCACTCATCCCTAAGTTTAATTTGAATATGATTGTATCCACTACGAAGATCAATTTTTGTGAACACCTTAGCCCCTTGCAACCTATCAAGTATGACATCTAGCCTAGGAATTGGGAACTTGTATCCAATAGTAATTTTATTGATGGCTTAGCTATCCACACACATCCTCCAATTCTTATCTTTTTTGGGGGTTAATAAGGCAGGAACTGCACATGGACTCATACTCTCTTAGATATATCCTTTACGTAATAATTCCTCCACTTTCTCCTTAAAAATCTCATTCTCCTTTGGGCTCATCTTGTAATGAGGCAAGTTTAGGAAACTAGAACCATCAAGTTAATTTGGTGTTGAATATCTCTTATTGGTGGTAAACCATCAGGTAAATCTTTTAGCATTACCTCACTGAATTCTGCTAGTAATAGTTTGACTGCTTCTGGATGCTTTAATATTTTATGATCCTTTTCAATTGACAACACCCGTTTCATAATCAGAGCGTGCACCTCTTTTGACTTTTTAAAAGTAGTCTTTATCTCATTCTCCAAATAAGTAAGGGTAAAGAAAGTACGCCTCTCCGCTTTAGAAGCTTTGGTTTTGGCACTTCCTTTCATTGGCAGTAAAGTAAACTTTATGCCATCTTTTTTCCAATTTATAGGTGTTTTCTCTTCCATCATGTTGCGATATATCATCAAACTGCCAAGGTCTACCAAATAATAGGTGACAAGCATCCTTATCCATAATATCAAAATATACCTCATCCCTATATTTACCAATAGAAAAAGGCACCTTACATCATTCTGTGAATCTTTTCTACTATCTTAATCTAGCCAATAGTGCATGGATTAGGGTGTTTCTCTACTTTACATCCCAAACTTTTCACAGCATCCTTACCAATAATATTTTTACAATTACCACTATCAATAATCATGTCAAATAAACTTTTAGTGATGGTGCACTTGGGTCGAAATAATTGATGTCGTTGTATATTATCCTCTTGTTTTGGAGACAACATCATGATTCTAACCACATAGTTCTAGCCATCATCATCATCCTCATACACGTCATTATTCCCATATGGACCATAACAAATCTCATCATCATCTTCTTCTCGTTCCACCACATAGACTGCTTTCTTGAGAGGATAGTCACTAGATCAATGACCAAGTTGATTACATTTGAAACACTTCCCTGGATTTGATTTAGCGTAAGGATTTGCAACTTTGTGCCCTTCTTTGCATTTGTCACTTTCTATTTTCTAGCTGCCTTCTCTTCCTTGTACTAGTCATTGCATGCGAAACTATCATGAACTGGATTATTTTTGTCGTTGGATGCTCTATAGTTATCCCCATTGTAACTTTTGCAAGAATAATCAAGTTTGTTCTTTTTTTGCAATATTAATTCAGCCTTTAAGGTAATATTTCGTGCTTTCAATAAATTTCGTAATACTTGTACCCCTATCTTTTCTTTGATAACTGGCTTCAACCCTTCTAGATACTTGACAACCTGTTGCCCTTCAGTCTCCCTTAGGTCATTTTGCTAGTCTCATAAATACTACAGTATATTCAAGTATAGTTTTTTGACCTTGATGGCACCTTTGGTATTATTAGAATAAAATCTGCTGATAATCAGGAGGAAGAAAATCTTTCTATAACAACTACTTCATTCTATTCCAAGTTCTAATTGGTGCTTTCTCCTCACCATTCCTTATAGACTGTAATCTTAGCTACCATGCAGAAGCCCCACTTTTCAATCTACAAGCGATAGGTCTTACTTTTTTTCCTTTTGGAATTTTCATATATTCGAAAAATCTTTTAGTTTCTGCAATCCAATCTAAAAAATTTTCAATATTCAAACTCCCATTAAAGCAAGGAATATCTACCTTTAATTTGAAATCACGAGTATCTCTATCACTATAACTATTCCTTCTATATCTAGCATATCTTTCTACAACATAATCATCTTCCTCTTCTGAATCTTTCATGTAGACTTATTGTCTACGCCTGTTTGTTGGAACAGGTCTACTAACAGGTTGTCCGAAAGCTTCATCATCTCCGGTACGTGGCCTCTCGTCATTCCGGTTTCTGTTAGTATCTATGTTGGCTTCATTAGTTTTTGATGATAATAAAACATTCTAATTCATTTATGTCTGACTTTTCTACTTGAGTGTGTAGGACAAAAATGTATATTAAATAATTAGTTAATCATTCAAAAGTAAATATCAAAACTTATAAAAATAAGGAGCTACAATTGAGCAATGAAACAAAAAGCCTCTTAGTTGGATAATCAAGGGAGTTGGCTGGATAAAACTTAAAAGAGAAGTTGGCGGGTTCAAGTAAACTGTGAAATAGAGAACACTTAGTCGACTAAGAGATAGTGTTAGTTGACTAAGAGTTTACTGCCAGAAACTGAGTTCAGAGACAAAAATGACTTAATCGACTAAAAAGTTTTGTGAGTCGACTAAGAGCCTACTGCCAAAAACTGGGTTCAGAGACAAAGACGACTTAATCGACTAAGTAGCAATATTTGTTGACTAAGAGCATTTTGTATGAAAATTTGAATTGAATGCTAAAAGATAAATTAACAGCTAAAATTGTCTCCAAACTATTTTTAACGGTCAGAATCTATCTAACAACCATCAGAGTTAATTTTTCAAGTATAAAAAGCACTCTCAACATCTATGAAGAATTTTTGAAGGCTTACAAGATCAAAAAGAGCTCAAAAATTAGCAAAAACTCTCTACATACTTTCTACACTTCACTCTAATCTTTGTAATAGAGTTAAGCACTTCACTTTGTACCATTCAGATCAGGTTAGTGATTATAGGTACTTCTTTATTTCTTTTCTCCTTGATTACTTAGAGTGTGCGAGTCACTCTAAGGGGATTGATAAAGCTTGGGTTAGCTTGATTGAGTGTATAGGTTGTAACTCAACCTAGAAAAGTTAGTTTTGGGTTTTGGTTGATCCTGAGAAAAATCATTGTTAAAGGTTGTGGCTGAGCCTGTGAAAAGCCATTGTAAAAGCTTGGCGAAAGCTTGGAAATTTCACTATTTATAGTGATTTGGTTTGGAAAATCCTTAGTTGAACAATCAAGGTAGTGGATGTAGGTCCTTGACCAAACCACTATAAATCTTTGTGTATTGTCTTCCCTGTTTTATTTTTCATTTCATTCTTTGCTAGATCATTCCTTCATCTTGCATTTAATTTTTCTTCATTGAGGTTTAACTTGCCCCCAATTAGAGGTCAAATTTAGTAAAACGTAAAAAGTGCTATCCACTCCCCCTTTAGCACATTTATTTGGGACCAACAATCTACGCCTAGAGCATCAAGTCGATCTATAATTTTTTCAAAGCATTGTTCTAAACGTTGGAATCTGAGATCCATTCATTGCTCCAAAGCCCTCAATGCCACCCTTTGATCTTGCATTGTAGATTGTAAAGTCTCAATTCCCAGATCTTTGCCATGAGAACTACCACCTACCATAACTGGATCATTTGCCATTAGATTGGATGAGTTTTTCCTGCTTTGATATCAACTGACACAGCGAGTTAGCATGGAAATAAAGGCTAGCTCTTGACTATGCCTTTAAGGTTAATAACCAACTTTCAAATATTGAAACTTTAAACTCAAGTTTGAGAGAAGAACTTTGTAGTATTCAAAAACTAAACCTAAAGATCCTATTTATAATATTATAGGCCCAAGTCCTAACAAAACTCTACCTCTAGTTGTCTAGTATAACTAGAATAGTTAACAAGAGAATTAAATAAAATAAATACTTTATTCCTAATTAGAACATGACTATCCTAAAGTTTTAGTACAAGTAAATTAAATAAAAAAAATTCTATTATACCTATAATTCTTATATAAGACTCCTAACTAAATAAAAAAAATATTAAAATTATGAATACGTCCTTTTATGATTTTTGAGCTTTTGTTTTAGTTTTTGATACTCAGCGGATATTGTTTGCTAGATGTTCTACGTCATTACCAAAAATAAAATAAAAAAAGAATGTTAAGAGAAGAAGAGAATTAAGGCACGAAACTGCCTGCAGGTAACTCACGATACCGCCTCATTGTCGCAAGTTTTGGGCGGTTCATCGATCGTTAAACAGCGTCATTTCCCTTTTTTTGCTTCGCGCGATATGCCTCAGACTCAATCAGTGTGTATAAATTTTCCCTTCAGAAGGTCTTCCGTATAACCATCTCTAACCATAACAGATTCTCCTTCTGCTTATTGTTAATTTAAGGTACGATTCCTTTTATTGCAAGAAACATATGAATTTTGTTTCTGTTTTTATGTAAAATTTGGGTTTGGATATATCATATATGGAAAGTTTTGTGTCTGCTTTGATGATATTTTCTGTTTCGATTTCTCTAATTCTCCCAACACCAAGAAAACAAGCCATGGATTTGATCAACGTGCATTTCTTTATGGTACCACTAAAAGTATGCTTGAAATCTTCTGCAGGTTTTCTGTTTAGGGGCTTCTAATGATATATACGTTGACTTATGACAGGATCGAGTTTCAAGGGGGAAAGACAACAGAAAACAATGGATGGAAAGAGGCAAATTGATCAACCAAAAGTTACTAAAAGGAAGAAGGACCATGGGTTGAGGAAAGGGAAGCTTGATCTGGTAGTGAATTTACTTTTCAACTACTTCGCCTTATTTTGATCTGGTAAATTTTATTTTTGTTTTCAACTTTGTTTGTTATCCATGTCCGTGATAAAAGAAGAAGGAGAAGGAGAAAGTGAAATTCTTCGCAGGGTTGCTAGCAGAGGTGCGAGCAGTGCAAGCGGAGCTGATAGAAGCCATAGACAGCCTGCACGACCCAGCTGAAAGCGACCTGCACCTAAAATGTCAACAACTCAGAAGAGTCAACACTCAGGGTGCACTGCTGAATACTATGATGCGAAACTACATTGACAGGACGCTTGCTGTTTTATTGGCTAGTGAAGGCAAAGGCAATTGATAAGATCCGGAACCCTTGAATGGTTATTTGGAAGTACTTAATTACTTTTCAGTACATTATCCTTTAATAGACCTAAAATCACAGTTCCATGTGTTAGTTGTGGAAGTTATATCAATAAATAATACTTAAAAATGTATTGAAAAGTAATTGAGGTAAGTAGAAACTCAGTTACTCGCACAGGTCATCCGGGTTCTTGTCTTATTTTGGCAGTCTTTCTCTATTGATACTGAATGTTGAAGTTTCATATGTTTGCCAAGTGTTGTTATGATACATGTCATCATCGATTGAAAAGACTTATAAATAAAGTTCTTGTTTCTTTGGTTAAGATTATTGTTTATGCCTTTGTTTCAGCACTGGTGTTCTTATTTTGATTACTTTGTTCATCAATTGTTGATACCTGCCATTTTGGTTTTGCTTTGAACATTTGATATTCAATGTTATAAATTAGGATGTTGGTCAGATTGTGCTACTTTATTGTTACCTCATCTTTTATTTCCATGCTTAAGTTAATAAATAGTAGAGTAGTTCCTATTTATGTAAAGCATTTTCTAAAAGATAATATGCTTTTAACGTTTCTTTGCTCTTTCCTTTTGTCGTAATTATTATATTATGTGAAAACTACTCTGTTGAAAATCTTGTAAGAAAGAATAGTGTGAAGGTTTAAACTCTTTTGTTCTATTAAGGTTAACATTATTCTTCTGAAGGAAGTGAAGTTAGTAGAGCCTCTCCTACATTTGGTTTAAAATTATGAGAACTAATAAATGCTCTCAAAATGTTGTTGTTTTAAAGATGCCATATATGTCAATGTCAATAGGAGTTTATAAGTTTGTGCTTTGGTGTTTGCTTAAAGGCACACTGTTCTAAGATCTACACAATATGTATTTATAATTTATAGACTCTCGAGAAATTAATTTGTTAGAAATGGTCTCAAATAAGTTCTTAATTAGAAATCTCAATTCCGTATTTGAGATATTGTTGGACCTTGTTCATGGTTTTTACATAGAGTTATTGTGATTTGGATTGTCTGATAACATATTTCCTCTACGTTGCATAGTGAGATATTATCTTGCTGGTAATGTGTTAATGATTTGATCATATGTTTATTTATGAATTAAGGAAAGTGAGCATGTTTTAAAGTTTTCGGTTCATTATTGTTTTCATTGTTTTAGGTTTCCCTACTTTTTCTTTGTTTTGAGTGCATCATAAGAGCCTCTTGAAATATCTATGAGGTATTACTTAAGTTGAAAAAATCCAAGAGTTACCATAACATCAAATGGACATATTTGGTTTTCCTATATATTATTTTTATTTATGTGTTTTTAATTGTATATGCAATTTGATATTGTTATACCATAGTATTAAAAATGCTCAAACTATCCACAAAATCCTTGTGCTATAGTATTATCTTCAATTTGATTTCTCGACCTAAAAACTGCTTAATTTAGTCATTTTTTTAACATTGTGTGCAATTGGATCCTTATGAGTAGCTCCATCCAAATTGGCCATTAACTATGCCGATGTGCCATTGCCATGTCAAAGGATGCTGATGCAGCACTAATATGTCAAATAGAAAAAAATTTTGGAAAAAAATTTTGTCATGTCAGTTTTTCTATATATTGTCATGAGGATCAAATTACACAAAATAGTAGCACCCGAGTATTTAGTTCATTGATTGATGCAGTATCCCCTACCTAAAGAGTAGGGTTCGAATCCCCCCTCCTCCAATTATATTAAAAAAAATTACACAAAATAGTTGAGGACTTCTTATGTACTTTTATCATTTTTTGTTTGACATTATATATGGGAATGTTGGCCTTCACTAAAAGTTGAGATGGTGTATGAATTGTAAGGAAAGAAGAAAACTGTCACAACTTAAACCTGAGGGTCCGTGACTAGTGCACTAGTCCAACAGGTTAAGCCTGCGAGATGTTAAAATGCTTGTGATTGAGGTTGATGAAAAATATGAAATTTGCTTAAGGAATCATTAATCAAGCTACTACCCATATATGTGTATCATTAAGCATATTGAGTTTAATTTGTTGTTAGGAAAGTTTGTCGTAGTGGCGTGTCGGACGAGGTAACGAGTGACCAGCAAGAAGAGTTAGCTAGATACGCACTTGAATCAATAGCGACGTAGCGTCTCGCTATTGTAAGGTGAGTAGGGGGTGTCGATTTCTAAATTTTCATATTATTTATATATATTGGTAAACGATTACTTGGTGTGTTGGTTTACTTTAAATGTGATTTGTGGACAACATGAGCTGGTAGTTATCCTAGGTAATTATGGATGCTAAAGTGTTTAAAATTATTTTGACTATACGTATATGAGTTATATACGTAAAGGATTGTGAAAATCGAGAAACAAGCTTTTTAGTACAATTTATGTCAAAATGTGCCTTATTGATTGTGTGATGTGCATTCATGAATGAATTTCATACTCACCATGCTGATTTGACATCTAAACCTCATGCAAAAGGTTTTACATTGCAAAGTGTTACACAAAGGGGTTTTAGTGCGCTACCAGGATCGATATTTTGAAAATGATTGGAAATGATCCCTTGAAAACCTGATTTGGCTTTTAAGTGATTTTACTAAATTGGGAGATTTGAGAGTAGGCCGAATTTCACATCGGGATAGTGTGACCCTTATGCACAAGTGAGCTCTAGCTAGAGAACCCTTAGGTCACTGACAAGTTGTTAGACATGGTTGGGGCCATGGTTTGTGATATACATGGGAAGTCCATGGGTTGTTATATGTGGCTAGGACACAAGTGATATTCGTAGTTGCGACCGCTTGATTTCTCTGATGTTGGCCAACATTGTGGAGACTACCATCGCATGTGGGAATCTAATGGAGCAGTACTCTTGGATTGTTATTATGTGGAGGCGGGTCCACGGGTTGATATTTACAATAAAAACTTAAGACTGATATCTCTTTGGGTTTTCAAACATGACTTCTTTCGCATGGTGAGAAATACTAGTTTTTTCGTAGCTCCACTATTCGATTAAAAGCTTTTAGTGCTTTATCTATTGATTATGAATTAATGACGGTGTGTTTGATACCTCGGGGATAGGATGATTTATGAGCTCGAGTAAAAGCTTTAATAACATTTGATTTCATGGGAGCGTGTGTGCTTTTGTTAGTCCAATTTCAAGTAAAGGATATTAAATGATTTCGATGATAGAAATCTTTCACTCACACCGATTTTTAGACAATGATGGTTAAATGATTTCTTACATAAAAATCCTTGGTTTTATATGTAAGGCACAAATGTTCCATTTGCTTTTAAATGGTTTATATGTTCTTATATTTTATATATTCAAATCTTCTGCCTTGGCTTGTTTTCTATCTACGCCTTACTCACAAAGTTGATGATCACTGAGTTTGTGAGACTCACCCCCTTATCTTCCTTTTGCAGATAAGTAATAAGCTCAAGTGCATTGCTTAGCACCTCAAGATTTGCTGCAACATAGGTAATGGTATTTCATAGCACTTTATTCCGAGTTGCTCCACTGCTAGAGTTCAAGTCATTCTTAGATTGATATATTTGTAAATAGTGTCAATGTAAAAGCACAAGACTCTAATATATTCTCTCGATTATGGTGAATAATGGATAAGATGGCTTATTATGATTTAAATTCAATTCTTATTACAAAGAGGAATATGGTTCAAAGTAATTTTACAGATTGATGGCATAATGACTACGTTTCAATTAAGGCTTGTTCGGGACTTGGTGGGTTCTCCCGCGAGACTTGGATGCAGGTAACGATTGAGGAGAACGTCGTTACAATAACCCTACTCATAAGGTGATTTCAGAAATAGCCACCCATATAAAGTTATTTGTTTTTACCCAAAAATAAGCATAAATAGACCAAAATGCCCTTAAAAGCATCTTAGTAAATTAATCTCTTGATATCTCTCCCTTTCACCGTAAAGAAAATAAATTCTCAACTATGTCAGCTCCTTCAACTCCCTTAGCTCTCTAAACTGTTTCAACTCTGTCAACTCTCTATTGAGCACCATCGTCATCGAGCTATGGTCTATCTCTCGACATTTGGCTATATTGTTGTCGATAAATAGACCGTAGAGTTGAGATGACATTAAGGTATGTTATTGGGTTTATTGCTGCAACACAGTAATTTCTAAAACTTTTTGTGTAAATTAAAACATTGCCTAGAGTTGTTACACGGTATGTTGTAAGAAATATATTAAAACAAAAAAACTACTTGTTTTGGTACAGGGCTTGTGGTAAAATTTGCCTATACCGTAGGTGTAGTAAACATGACATTTAACAAAATCATTAAAACATAGCCCAAAGTTGTTACACACCATGTATCTTTAATGCACATGGCATGTAAAAAATATAATGAAATAAAATGTGTTAATACATGGCATGTAACATGTTGTAAACACGACGTGTAACATTTTTGAGCATGGCATGTAACATTTTTTTTAATATGGCGTGTAATAACATAACTGACAAATTTTACAACATGACATGTAATGTGTAAAATGACTAACAAATTTTTTGTTTTCAAAATTTCAGTGGCGTTCCAATTTTACGACTTGTGTTAAGACACGGTGGTCAATGGTGGATGGTATTTACAAGGGTGGTGAGTCACGAATGCAGGGGGTTATGACTGATTTGTCATTTACGGGCTTGATAAAGCTGGTTGAAGATGTTGTTAGGGTAAACTCATAAATTCATGAGATTGAGATACATGCATTGATCAATACATCCAGAGAGCTATCACGCCTAATTATCAAGGACAATGAGGATGTTGCATTAATTCCACTAGAACAGAGCAATGTTCCAGCAATGTATGTCACCATTAAAGAATGCCATACAATGTTATGTCACATGAAAAAGTTGTACAACATGGTAATCACCTTAATCAAAATGAGATTTACAATGCTTCACATATACCACAGCATTTGGTCCCTAACCCAAAATAATGGCGATTGACGTATGCATAAGAGTTTGTGTAGCCTGGTAGACACACGACATTCACAGAACATTTGGCTGCACAATTTTGATCAGCGTGTACATCAAACCAATTTCTTGCTTCTATCCAACAAATGCAACAATTGGGTGAAATGTAGAAGGTGTAATGTTATTTTCAAATGAGACTGTGACATTTGTGGGCAACAATGCGACGACACTAGAAGACAACATTACGATGCTGGAGAACAATACTACATCTAATGAGGGAAATGAGGATTTGTTCCCTATAAGTCAAGATAGATTTGATGACAATTCAGATGATGGGTTTGATGAATGGCATGATCACAGTTTAGATGATGACTGGCTTTATGATAGTGACATTCCAATTTGCAGTAATGTTGAAGGTGAAATGGAACCTGTTAGAGGTGTTGATGTAAGAGAAGTTCAATGTGATGACCCCATATACAATAACCCCATCACTGGTGAGAACGGGATTCGTTCCCTTTAGACGTTGCTTGATGACAGTTATCAAGAAAGGGGACATGTAGGGATATCTCGTATATGGCTAATTCTAGATGTAGAAAGGTTCTCCTTCTAAACAAATACCATCAAAGAGTCGACATGTGCTGATGATTGCTTATACAAAGGATGTAATGCATTCGACAGTTGCAATTGATGTGACACATTTAAAAGACAAGCTCAAGGGTGTTTTATTTGTTGCTGTATGCAATGATACGAATGAGTGCGTATATCCAGTTGTATTTGGCATAGGCCATGTTGAGGATGAAGAATTATGGACATGGTTTCTTAACAAGTTGCGTGATGTGGTTGGTTGTCCTAAAAACTTTATGTTCACTTCTGATCAGCATCTCAGCATTAAGAAAGTAATCCAAAATGCATAGCTAGAAATGCATCACGATTTATGTGGTTACCACTAGAAGAAAAACTTTAAAAATAAGTTTAAGGGTGATGATGTTTCTATGATTTTCACCCTTGCTCGAGACTGTTATAAGGTTTTCAATTTCAGTAGACATATGAACCAGCTCAAGCAGATTCACGCGAGAGCCCACTCTAACCTTATGAGAATAGGCCCTAAGTGATGGGCTTGTGCACAGTCACTGGTAAGGCAATGCTAACTCATGACATCCAACATTGCAGAATGTGTTAACTCATGCTTGAAGCATGCAGGACAAATGCCAATCACTATTTTAATCAAGTTCATCAAAGACATGTTCCAGCTTTGGTTCCATGACCGGTACGAAGACGCCATCAGGCTGACCATACCCCTCAACTCTTAGGCTGCTAAGCAATTAAGCAAACAATTCAATGATGCACATCATTTTGTAGTTAAACCTATCAATCGATTGGAGTTCGAAGTTAAAGATGAAAAGATGGACGAACTTGCAAACCTATCCAGGAAGAAGTGTTCATGTTGTAAGTTCTAAATAGATCTACTGCTATGCAGCCATGCCATTGTGACAATAAGGTCAATATATCTTTATTTCTTATTTGACCCTTAATTAACATACTATTTACATTCTGCTTAAACATTGAGTTTATTGTATTTTTTAGTAAATGCAAATGTGAAGCCGTTGAATTTTGCATTGACTACTAAAAGACAACCTATTTGGTGGAGGTTTATGCGGGGTGCATTTGCCTGGTAGGGCATCCCCTCTCATGTGAAACAAATCATCGTTTTGCCACCAGCTTGGGGAGCCGAAGCAGGAAGACCTGAGAGAAAAAGGATTCCAGTGACTAGTGAAGGCAGTCGACCACGGAGATGTTCACAATGCAAGAGGTACGGGTATAATAGATAGAATTGCCTATCCCCATTTGCAATTCCATCCATAAATCTGACACCATCCCCAAGTCAATCGACGCCTCCACAAGTGCGACAACCAAAATCAAGTTTAACTTGCAGACAAACCAATCACACACGCAACACCTGTCCAATATGAAGGGCAATGTCCAAGAATGCTGGTGTCTTATAGATGAAGACAATTTGTCGATCTAACTAAATGTGTGAGCCATTTCCAACATCATGTGGTGACAATATCCTTTTGTAGTTTCTTACATTTATTCACATTTTGTTTTTGTTAGTTAATAATGGATTGAGAAAATGTCATCATTGTATCCATGGGCGAACCCACAATGGAAGGAGTGGTGTAGATATATTATAAGTCTTTATTTTTTTTATTTATTTTGTAAATATATTATTTAATTATTTAAATTTTGTATTTAACTTTGATCAATGAATAGAAAATTGTCATATTGTTTGTTACTGAAACTGATAATTTGCTATGTAAGATCATATATTATTTAATTCAAATATTTTAATTTAATTTATGTCAATGAGTAGAATTTTTAACAATTTTTATAATTAATTTTATATAAGCAAGTCACTGAAAGATACTACACAAAAAAATTGATCTCAAAAGACTTATATTTCAAGCAACAATAACATTCTACTAAGTCAAATTATATTGTTACACACTCCAATTGTTAGTTCTCGTTTACATCTTGTAGTGACACGCCTTGTCATTGCAGTATTGTGGGTTGACACACCACGCTTGTTAGATGTCGTTAACATCTTGTGGTGATACGATCAGTCATTGTAGTATTATGGGGTTACATGCCACGCTTATTAGATGTCGTTGACATCTTGTGGTGACACACTGAGTCACTGCAGTATTATGCAGTGACACGCCACGCTTATTAGATGTTGTTGACATCTTGTTGTGACACATTGAGTCGTTGCAGTATTACGGGTGACACCCAATGCTCCAATTGTTAGATTTGGTAGGGCATCTTATGGTGACACACTAAGTCATTGCAGTATTCTGGGGTGACACGCCATGCTTGTTAGACATCGTTGATATCTTATGGTGACATGTTGAGTCATTGTAGTATTATGGGGTGACACGCCACACTCCAATTGTTAGATTTGGTAAGGCATCTTGTGGTGGCACGCTAAGTCATTGCAGTATTATGGTGACACGCCACACTTGTCAGTTGTCATTTACATCTTGTCATGACACGCCATCAATAAAAAACCCACATGTTGAACAGAAAACAGTATTTTTTTTTTAAACATCAACTTAGGGTTATCATAGGTACTGTGTTTGAATTGAAAAATTAATGTATAAAATGAATGAATATTATAATTAACATAATTGTATCTACAAAAAATATACATACAACTGTCAGTATGTTCACAGGTTTAGGGTTTCCTTTCACAACTATTGGTAAAAATTTGTAGAGTGTATTGGCAACGCATATTAGGAATCATATTATTCTTAACTTTGATATGTTCGAATTGCAAAATATCATCAATGTACCCTACAGTAAACATATCGCAGCTGACATTATCCTTCTGGTGATGCACTAGAGATTTTGGGAAACGAATTTCCAATGGCACTAGTGTGGAATCTCGTGTCTTGTGGTGCGTGTTGTTGGAATAACCAGATTGGTGGCAGATAATGGGCATCATCGTCAGAAGAGATGTCATTTGAGTCGTACGCACCCTATTATCCTTACTAGCTAAAGTTCTTACCAAGTCCGCCACCTTGATCATCCATTAAACCAAGTCGGTCTTCGCAACAACCCAGTGCCCACCCACATTGCAAGGCGCGAGGATGTAATCGACATCTTCGCATTTTTCCTATATGTCGGCCTATCGCCCTCCATATATATTCGCAACTTATCTAGAATTTGCATAGTTGACTGTTTAGCTTCATATTGATATGCGATGTAGAGCATACAAATTGTATCTTGTGAAATATGGAATTGTCAGCTTACATGTCTGCAATCCAAAACATTAGTATTTTTATAATTAAAAAATGTGCAAATAAACTTACGAAAAATGTTATATCAACCACGCATGCACGGGTATTGTACAACTTAAACTTCGACCCTGTTATTCGCTTACATAGCACGCTAAGGCATGCGTCAATTTGTTCACTTGTCCTTTCTTCTTGGGGATCCTCTAATGATGTAAAAATTTAAGCCCTTGATTCCCTAAGATCCTGATGTTACGCCTACACATGTAACAGAATGAATTTCAAAAGGGTTGGTGGATTAATATTTCATTCAAAAACAGTATTTCTAATGTTATTCATAAGTTTACCTACCATGCTTAGCTTTCTTGAAAGCTTTATACACTTCCACCATTGAGTTCTTTAGATCCCGATGGCTCATGAATGGGTCAAGTACGAGCTTGCCAAATATTTGGCCATTGTGACCCGTGCTCGCTCAGTTGGGTCAAAAATGAGTGTTGTACAATGATGGACATCAGATGGCTCTGATATAACAATCATGATGTGTTGGCTTCAAGAGTGCTATGCGGGACATGGTCCCCTTCAACTTCAACTGTTGCAATGTGACCATCCTTTCCCGCTATCAGTTAAAATTTTGCTATGTAAGTATACGTATCGAACAGATAGTATATTAGTAAGCAGAGTATCGATCCCACAGGGAATTGATCTAAATTTTACTAAGTACTAAAATTAGAACAACTGAGTTTTATTCAAATAATTAAAATCTGAATTCTAATTGAACTAAAAACTACTCAACTAAAACTAATTTAATTAAAAAAATTTAAGTAACAAGATAATTGGGCAAATAGCAAATCAAACAAGCCTAGGATTACAATATCCCTCACACTTCATCTAAATCTTACCTCTCTTCCTTAACTTATTTCAATGGGTTGAATTGCTGACCTAGAGTCCTAAATTACTTATAAGGGTCTCCCGACTCATCTTATAAAAATTTCTATTTTAACCAAAACACTATATCTCTATGTGAATTGAAATTAAAACAAACTCATTAAGTTCAGGCTCTAATCTGGCTACATATGGCCTATAGGTATATCCCTATCCTATGCGTAAATCAAGTAATATGATCGTATGCTATCTCAATTTTAGTATACACTAAATTCCCT